ATGCATCGATCCAACAGCCGACGATCCGATGCATCGGCACGTCCGCAAAAGCATCGATTTATGTTAATTTTAGGGACGTAATTCTGACTCCTGTGCTGTGGTGGCGCTAAACCTGTTTTGCCCTCCTACCTCGCTTCCTTTAGCCACTACGCTCTTTCCGCTTGCACACACACCTGTGTAAACACTGAGGCATTATTATTTCTTAGCGAATGAGGTTTTCATAGGTCTAGGTGGAGGAAAACTTTGCTACTGTTGTTATTTGTTGTTGTTTCTCAAATAAAAGGCATAACGATATTGCAGCTTTCATTTAATTATTTAAAATGTAAAATATTGTATAGCCTGTGAGGTAAAAAAAAACAAACAAAAACAAAAAACAATCGAATTGAATTGTGGTGTATTCATGAATATAAAAAATAATCGAATCGTTGGGTCAGGAAATTGATAGTGAATCGAATCGCAATGATGGGTGTGATTTACACCCCTACTCCCTTCTAGATTCTTCTGTCCACACCTGCTCCCAATCTGCTGATTAGCCTCCCATATATACACCTCCTGGTTAGTCACTGTTTGGTTCCGCGTCGTTTCTTGGCTCCTCGTGTGCGTTCACCCTGATGTTACTGGATTTTTTGGTTTTAGTATTTCAATTTTTTTTTTATTTTTGTTTCTGTGGCCTTGGATGCTTAATTAAAACTATAAGATAACAATTCAGCTTTTTTTTTTTGGAAAATCTGTCCTCTATATGATGTTTGACAGAAAATGCTTATAAAGCCTGACATTTATTCAAGATCCTTTTACTTTTAAATTTGGTCCTGGACAAAACATGAAATAGAAAAAAAAAAAATCAGTGTGCAGAATTCCTGAGAACAGATCAGCCGATCTGAAAGGACCATCTGAAGGTGGTCAAAGGTTAACGAGTTCCTCCGGTGAGATCGGCCCCCGTGAACTCATCCGTCACAGAAAGCGATTGAGGAAATGAAGTGGTTAATGAAATGAGGATGTGAGGGGGGGCAAACCAACAACCAGACTTCAGCAAACACGTTAACACCTTTAAAACCATGTTTACCTTTACAGCTTCCATCGGTCCTGTTTTATTTTTATAATTTATAGCAGTAGGTTATATTTCTATACGCATCAAAACGTGTGAAACACAAAAGGAACAGGCGGTCCATTTGCACCATGACCTTTGACCACTGTTTATACAGGTGGGAGAGTTGTAAAGATGAGCAGAAGGACAGAGCGTTTCCAAGAGGCGACATGCATTCCAGCAGGCTTCTTCTAGCAGCTCTACCTGTTTTAGTTCTTTTTACCTGCAGCAGGGGAGGAATAATGACAAACAGGGAGTCTGTATTTGCTGAGGATGGTGAGTCTTTGTTAAGTTTTGTCTGAAACCGACTCGCACAACATCAGAAAATGACTTTTTTCATCCTTTGTGTTCAAACATGAAGTTTAACCGTGGCTGTAATATGACTCTAGACAGACTTTATTGTCATTTTGCACACACAGAGTGTATACAGACAGAAATTTTGTTCAGTACAGCTCTCAAGACATTTCCATTTTTAAAATGCAGAAGTGATAAAATGTAAACACTAGATTTGTATATGATTAAAGTTTTTTTTAATACCCCTTTTTATACAACATTCAGCAGTCTAATAGCAGTTAGGGAGAAGCTGTTCTGGCGTATGTTGGACCTGCATCGGATGCTTCGTATATGAAGCAATATAAAACATTTATGATGCAGCCAGGTCCGTGTTTTGACCCATATGTTGATAGTGATCTGAAAGTGCCATTAAATGTTGCTTTTTTATGATGTCCTGGATGATCTATAGTCAGTCTATAAACCAGACCAGCCTTGAATCTCTGCAGGGCCGACTCTGAAAATGGACCAAGCTCTGCTGGCATTTCACAACCAGCTCACAGAACGAGTGTGGGTTTTCTACACATCAGATTACTGCTACAAGGTAAAGTAAAAATATGAAATTCGATATGCCCTAACTTAAATCAGAGTTACTATTCTCCAGTAAAGTTTAGGCGGCATGGGCGGATTTAGGTAATTTGGGGCCTTAGGCAAAGACA